AGTATTAAAACAAATTTATCAAGAACCTGGAATTAAATGTCAATGAAGGATATATGCTTGCACCACACAAAGTAGTCAAGGAAGGAGGAAAAAATTCAATCCAACTGAAACCAGTTTGGCTCAGTGGATAGAACATCGGCCTTCGAACTAAAGGGTCCCGGGTTCAATTCAGGCCCCATCCCATGCTTTCCAGAGTTATCTGGCAGCCATGCTAATGCAAAGTTCTAGCCTCCTGCAGAAAACAGGGGAGAAACACAGGGTGTGTGCCCAGCAGGCTGAGAATTCCTATCCACAGCTTCCACTCACACGAGGAGTTTTCTCAGAACATAGTTTTTATGTCTCCATTTCCTTAAAAACGAAAGTTGGGATTTGGGAAACCATTTGAAGATCACACACACACACACACACACGAAAAAAAAGAAAAAAACAACACAGAAGAAATGATCACATGTTAGGTCTGCAGCCAGAGGCAACAAGGAAAAGAGAATCAGATAAATGCTCCTCTCACGCCTCACCTGGAGATCTCTCTCTGCCTAAAGAATAAAGCATCAACTCCTGCCAAAACTGGTTTGGCTCAATGGATAGAGTTTAGGTCCGTGGACTGCAAGGTTCCAGGTTCGATTCAGGTCAAGGGCATGTACATTGGTTGCGGGCACATCTCCATTAGGGGGTGTGCAGGAGGAAGCTGGTTGATGTTTCTCTCTCATTGATATTTCTGACTCTCTATCCCTATCCCTTCCTCTCTGTAAAAAATCAATAAGATAAAGAGCAATCCCACTTACTGTTGCTGGCTTAAACAATATTTGATGGGGAATAAAGACCCCATTCATGGGCACGGTAAGCACTCAATGGTTCCTCCATAAAAGAGGGTGTGGTTTTGTTGTACATGTACCTATAAACCTAGGTATATTTAAACACACGTGAACCTCACTTACCCAGAGGTCTTCTTCGAGTCTTCATCACATAGCAAATACATGAACTAAAGCATTTAAGTGCTCTGAGATGCTAAAACAGATGTGGTAAATCTGAAGCTTTTTACTCCACAAAGAACCAAACAGAACAGGATAGCTGCAAATTTAGCATCGCATTCTATTTCAAAAGCATGCATCCACTTTGAATCTCTTAGGTTCCATTTGCTTTTACTTTATGTACACATTTTCAGCAACCTTGCTTACATAATTTCTCGGCCCAGTGCAGATGATAATCAGCAAATTAGACAGTTTTGGTGAGACTGTCTGACAGATTTGAGGCAAATTGGCGGAAGCAAAAATGAGAAGTGAAGGCTGTCAGTGAAGGAGAAGGAAAAACAAGCAGAGGCTTAAACATGCTTCATCTGGGGTTATTTCATGTAGGAGATACTGCTCTTACTGCACCCCTATAGGCCCGCCCACTGCAGGCAGAATGAAATAGCTTGTTTATTCAAATGAACCTGACTCATTATGCCAGAGTCCTTTTATACTCACAAATATTGGTACTTTGATTCATTTATTCATTCAACCGACATCTAATGAGACTGATTTTTTTTTTTATCTTGGCCATATGCAAGGCAATGAGGATATAAAGAAAATATAAGACATGGCAGTGGATTTTTTAAGTCACTGTTGGTGGATAGAAATAAATATAAGGAAAAAAATGCTTTTGATAGCATGAGAGGAACAAGATATGTTCTACTAGGAATATATACCCAATGCTCCAGGGGCAGTCTGTGGAGAAATTGAGGATGCATTCACCAGAGAAAATAATTCCCACCCGAACAAATTTCAATTTAGGAAAACCATCACGTGATATGTTACATTCCCAGGCATGCCAGCTAAATATGGCATGATCACTGTGGGTTCCAGTGGTGACAAATGGCAAGTAGGGCCTGTGGAATACATCCCACTGCTTTATGGGACACAGTGACTGTATAGGCAGTGTCATGCATGACAATCTTAGAAGCAGCTTAGAATTTATACACACGATTACATGCACATATATAGATGGGTCTGGAGGCAAACAGGTACTTTTAGAACACAAATAGGATTGTCTTCTAGGGTGTTCTCAGCATCCTTAACACCACAGCACATGGTAATGTGTCCTACACATCAAGTCTTCCATTCTAAGGCTTCTCCATAGATTTTACTCCATTCCACTCCACTTCTCAGACACACCCCAACATTTTTGTTTTGCATGATCCATTTTAGCGCTTAATCACAGGCTGCCTCATGTTGTCATTTGATTTCCTGTGTGCATTGCTTATCTACTCAACTGGGGAATGTAAATTATCAGAGGGAAGCCGCTGTTCCTCCTGGGCGCTTATGGCTCCCATATCCTAGCCTAGAACATAGCTAAAGCACAAAGTAGCCACTCAACCAACACATTGACAGACACTAATGGGAAGATGGAATCTGACCAATGCCGTGGAATTGCCAAGGCTGTTTTCTCCTAGATAAGAATACCATGGGAGATGGCTTGTCCACGGAGCAGCAGATTGCAAACTCATCCCGTCTACATTTCAAGTCAACCTGACATATATATATATATATATATATATATATATATATATATATATATATATATATGGTTACTATGGATTATTGCTGTGAAGATGATCACGTGGTTCTTACTGCCCAGCAGATGCAAATGACAGGAGTTCTTCGCCTCTTTCCATTGTGAAATGAAGCTGCACGTATGGATCATGGCAGGCTGAAGCTATACCCAGTGGCTGGAGAGCTCTGTATAAGTGCAAAGGTCTATGTTCCCAGTGGAACACAACCCTCCTGCGTCACCCATTCATCATCTGACAGCAGCTCAGGATTGTGACTAATATTGGGCCCTCATATCCTAGGTGGTTACCATAGAGGGACTTGGTAAGAGCATAATTCGCATTTCCTTGGAAAAATGTAATCTACAGATGGACCCCAGCACCCAACTGCAGTGGTGTCCAAAACTAATGAGGATTTTTGCTAAATAAAGACTGATTCGGCCAAAAAAGCTGTGCTCTGACAGAGAAATCTGTATCGCACATCGCTCCAAAGAGTATATTTATCCAAACACTGATTGCATTGGAACACTAGAATTTTCCTAATAGGGGCATAGGGAAAAAGCGCTTATTGATGAAAATGCACATTTATATTTTTCCTTTATAGAGTGAAGAAATAGGATCGATGCTACCAGGCATTCACAATGTTTCAGTTACAAAATTTAATCTCTCGTGTTTTCTTATGTAGCTCAGGAAGGTAACATTTTTTTTTCATTCAAATTAGAAAGCTGATTATTAAAATAATCCACATCGCCCTAGCTGGTTTGGCTCAGTGGATAGAGCTGCAACCAGCAGACTGAAGGGTCCTGGGTTCGATTTCAATCAAGAGCACATGCCTAGATTGTGGGATTTGACCCCCAGTAGGGGGTGTGCAGGAGGCAGCCAATCAATGATTCTCATCATTGATTTTTTTTCTCTCTCCCCCTCTTCTTTCCTCTCTGAAATCAATAAAAGTATATCTTTTAAAAATAAATAATACACGACTTCATAAATAAACGTAAGGTAGACTTCCCTTGTGTGAGCCGTCACTCCCACCTATAGAACAAGACAGTCGGTAACGGGGCTCGGAGCACTGTGTAATCCCCATAAAATGAAATGGCACAGGAATGTGTTCGGCTATCAGAGCAGTCACACTTCGTGCACAGCCTCCTCCACACCCTTCCAATTTCAATCTTTTGCTCAGTGCTAGGAAAAGAGGCATGCTTGCTCACACAGGATCCAGTACATGGCTGCGAAATCTAAGCATATCTCACCAGCGCCTCCTAGAGGCCATGTTGAGGATACAGGCTGGGAGGGGAGCGCGGGCACAAACCCTTTCCTTGCATTGAGAGTTTCACCTCCCCCTTTACCCCCCAGCACAAACCCCCCTGGGCTGTACCCCCCAGAATAAGAACTCGACTGTTGAAGTAGTTTGGCGACTCTGACAGGCCTTTTAGAGGAGAAAATACACTGCAGCACAGAAGATTAACTTCATCGCTGGAGGCAATGAACACGAAACATACACGGAGAGGTTTCAAACTCGGGTGTTCAGAAAAGACCACTCACTATATTATGCAACCTGCTGTTTGTCACGCGCGCACACACACACACACATACACACACACACACACACACACACAGTCAATCTGCGAGGTTCCAGGATGCAGATGCAGTGAACATTGAACCTGACGCGGGCTTCCCAGGCTCTGCACCCTCTCTCCTGGTTGCTGGGAACGAGGGCTGGGAATGAGGCGCTGGTGCGAGGGCAGAGCTCGAGTGTCTGTAGGAGTTGCTGTTCCAGAGAATTCATTACTGTCTAATTGCTCTGATTTTAGATCAGCAGAGCGTGTCAGGCGGCGGTGGTGGTGGAGAACGAGATCGAGGGAGGACAACGCGAGAGGGAACGCGCCCTTCGCCCCGCGGAGGAGCCGGGCGCTTTGTAAGTAACCGGCGAGCAGTGCGCTCGCAGGAGCCCGGCGGCTGTGAGGTTGCAACACTTTGCGCGTGTCTCAACCCTGCGGGATCTGCGGGGATCCCGGCCCCTTTCTTTTCCCCATTTCGTGCTTGGCTCCTCCGCCCAGGGTGCAGATTCTGCTGCGGATTCATTCGGGGTGCTTGGGAGAAGGGGGAGCGCCGGGGACGCCCTCGGGCTGAAATGCAACCCTCCCTGGCATTTCGCCCTGGCATTGGCGAGGTGCTGGGCCCTGGAGGGGCACGCACAGCCCAGCCGCCGCCGCCCAGGCTAGAAAAAGGGAAGTGTGGGGCTCGGGGGAGGAGGGTAGGAAACTTTGCCCAAGGCCAGGCTGCAATTAGGCAGACGCCGAAGCCCGGAAGCGGAGCTTCCCACCTGCTGCTGCCGTCCAAGCCGGGGCGCAAGTCCCTCCAGCCGGGGCGGCCTCCGGGGCCGGGCTGGGAGGCCGGAGGCGGCGGGAGCCCAGCCCGGCAGGTTCTCCCCGCTGGCAGCGCCCGGGCGGCGGGTGCAGCATCCTCCCCGCCCCGCGGCGGGGACCGGGGGGGCGGGACGCGCGGCCAGGCGCGCTGCGATTGGCCAGCGGCGGCCGGAGGCGGGGCCGGGCCGCCGGTATCTCGTGGGCCGCCTCAAAAGAGCCCAGGATGTTGCAGAGCGCACTGGAGCCCTGGCCAGCGCGCAGCCTGCCCCGCGAGCTGGGTCTTGGGAATTCGGGTTTGCTCTGGCGCCCTCGCTCTTACAAAACCACCGGATCTTACATGCCTCTGTGCCCCCCTCCGTCCGCTCCATGTCCCCATGCTCCTGCGCCGGCAACAGGTAAGGGCTGCTGTGTGTTTTCTTCCCCCGCGTGCCCCGGGGAGTGCGGACTCTGGGGCTGGGGCTGCCGCTGGTCCCCGACGCTTCCCTCCCCTGCCCCGCGGCCCCAGAGGTGCCCAGCTGTCAGCTGCAGCGGCGCGCACCCACGCTCCCTCCGAGCCCCCGAGCATGCCTATAGAGTTTGTGTGCCGCCCCAGAACATCCCAGATCTAAAAATACTGAGCCGCGCTTGGAACAGTTGAGCAATCGAAACATTTCTCTGCAGCATCTGTTTGTGCTCATAACTTCCAATGCACCAGCTGTAGCGAGATACCGAGTTTGGAGGCAGGGGCTAGGGAGCTGGCGTTGGAGAGTCCCTCTAAGGGGGGAAAACAGGGGCGAGGGGATAGATAGGGTGACTGGGGTACTGGTCTCAGACCGAGGCCGATCTGGGTGCTCCGCGGTAGTCCGGACCCTTGATCTATTTAAGTTCTTTCTTGGTCATTGGTCATTGCTTCAAGTAGAGAGTCCAGCTCCACAAGGAGCGAGCGTCCCAAAGTTGCTTTGCTGGGGAGAGAGGCAGCCGGAGTTGGAATGGAGCCTACAGCCGGCAAAGCTCTCACACTATTATGTCGCTTTCCCCTGAGCAACTTGTAATTCTTAATAATAATAATAATAATAATAATAATAATAATGCTGATACCTCCGTGGAAGACAGCGTGGTTTCTGGGGAGGCCAGAGGGGGAAACGACTTTTTCTGCAAAGAGATTGCATCATAACAGACGGATCGTGACATTTGGGGAAAAGGAGAGATGGGAGACTGGCAGTGTGATTGATGTCTGTGCCTCAGCCAGCGGATCAGTAGGAGGGTAACCAGGACAGGACTGTGAATCCTGGGGCGTCTCACCAACGCAGACTTTGCCTTCACCTGATAGGAAATCAGGCACGATTTGAAGACATGTTTGGGGTATGCAAAGAATGCATATTGCCTTCTATTTTCACATGCATAATCTAGAGGCAGTTCGATTTTCTCTCACGGCTGTTGTATGTCTGCTGTCCATTGCGTTACCCGTGCACTTGTTAGCTTTTTCCTGCTCACTTCCACCCCCGCCCCCGTAGTGTTTTATTTATATTTGCCATTATCCGGAAAAAAATCTCCAAGGTCAGGGGTCAGAGGTGTGACATCAAGGGCTGTGGGAGGGGTGAGAGTCAAGATCAAGGTCATTTCGCTTTGCCTTCAGCTCCTCCCTTCCCCCTCCCATGTTTGTTGGCACTTTCTTTGGTGCTATGGGTGTCCCTAAGAAGATTTGTTTTAAACTCTTGTGAATTTGGCATTAAAAAAAATAAAAAAATAAAAACAATCCATACTATTTCTACTTCCTTGAGACTCTCTCCAGTTGTCGGATCTCCCCTTAGCTGTGGAATCCTTGTATGACTTTTCAGTAGCATGAAAGATTGACCACATCTTTATCTCAACAGATGGCCTGTGTTCAGGGTTTCTGTAGCGTGTTTTCCTGTGTATTAAACCCGTATGTTCTTCAGCATTGGCACATGCTGAGTGACGCTTCATGCATTGTTGGGTGTCCGTGTCGGAGTGGTCACGTAGATAAGTGAGTGTCCCCCTCACTCCCCCTCTCCCTGCCCTTCCTTCCCTCTGTTTACTGAGCTTCACAGAGGTTGCCTTGCTAGCACTTGTGCTCACATAGCAACATGTGCCCAGAGCACAGTCGGGCTAGTCTATATGGCGTCAGCTGGGGAATAGCTACTCTAAACACTCATTAGCGGGCCTCTCTCTGAGCCCAGCTCACCCTCCTTTATGACCCTCAGTGCCCATCCTCAGGAACGTTCTCATTCACTGCACCATGGCCGCTGGATGGGACACATTTACTCTTGTTGATTGTTCACAGTCGCATTTTCTGGTTTTTAGAGTCCATGTCGGAAATACTTCCTATCGGCTAACCATGATTTGGGGTCATTCCTGATATTATCTCCTTGATCTTTTCCTTTTCTTTAATCCATAGCTCTCCCTCCCTTCACATCTACCTAAGACTGAAGCGCTGAACTCTCTTTTTCCATTGCTTATGCTTAATTTTGGCTCAGCCTATAAATAGTCTTACCATGAACAGCTCCACATGCAGCCTCTCCATTTCCCAGAAACATTTTCTACCTCATCGGGGATAGCTTGGGTGAAATGATGACGTGTGTCTTTCAAACTGCCATCAGACCCTTACATATTTAGGCTGGAGGGGGGATTCACACGTGGTTCACCCGATCAGGGATCGATTCTCCTGCCTTGTTCCCAACTCAGGAATCACATAGTGTTCTCAGCTGCTGCTCTTCATCGATTCTTTCTCACAGAATTAATCTGAATCTATCCTTAAACCACTTGACAGAAGCCCTGCTCCTAATGGAAGTTTTCCCAGATGCTCATGAATTAGTGATTTGGGGTGAGAGAGGAGGAGCCAGAAAGCTCTCTGCTGGCCCGAAGCCACTGGGTGTGCGGGGTGGTTGGTAGAAAAGCCATTCCTCAAAGTGGACCTACCAGATTCTGGAAGGTTCTAGATTGTTGCTATGGCATTAGCTGCACCAAGTCTAAATGCATCTTCTGTGTGTGCACACATATATACACATGCATCTGTTTTGGAGCCTATCTATTCAGTGACAAAAGTTTCCATTTCACCTCCCAACTATATTTTTTTTTCCATTTTCAGGCAGAATGATCAGATTTGTAAATGATGTGCTTCAGGTGGCACATGTTCTGTCATTAGCAATGGAAACAGGACAATAACAGTCCCTCTATCCAGGCTCTCGTTGAGGGCCTTGATGTGAAAAGCTATTCAGAGGCAGCTGGAGGTGTGTGTTTTGTGGAATTCAGACCAATGTCCTGGGGTCGAGAGTTTTGGCAAGTTGTAATTCAGCCTGTAGATTTCCTGTGGTGTTATGCTTTCTTCTGGAAAGGTGCAGAAGTCAGTCAGACACTCCGACAGAAGGATTCTTTTGAATCAGAAAAAGGGAATTTCTTGGTGTCAGTTATAGGATTCCGAAGTCAATCAGAACTCCAGGATACACGTACTATTTAGATGATGCCTCTTCCTCACTCTTTTTTTTTTGGGGGGGGGGGGGGCGGAGATATACCTGTATTTGGTGTCACATCACCTCTATCTGGTTTTGTGCAGAAATGCGTGGCCATAACACCTGAGCCCCATCAGCCGAGGTCCCTGTTAAACAAGGTCCTTCCCGTGCCCGGCCGGGATCTAGAACTCCGAGGAGCAGGAGTCCTGTCTTGTTCCTTTTGTCCGAGTACAAACCTTGCAGGGAAGCAGACAAAACATTGAAGCAGGTGGAAGACTGGGAAGGCACAGTAACTTCTTTTTAGAAAGTGATTCAAAGACACTTTTAAATCGGGCATCACTTAGGTGTCAAAAGCTGCCAAAATGTAACACACATTGCAATTTTCACAGATGACTAATCTCGGGAAAAATGTGTTGGGGCACATTCTTGCATAATAACTTGGATGAAGAGGGAGCAGGGAGAAGACGGTAGCAAGGCAGTTTTCACAGACAGTGCACCGAGCCTCTCTGCAAGGGGCTGCGATGCAGCAAGGCAAGCGGCATGCTTTGCCCGTGTGCAGGTGGCTTGGCTGCGGCTGGATTCGTTCTCTGCTTACCCTTCATGGGCTTTGGAGGAAGAAAGACTCAGTGGATCCCTGATCTTTTTAAGCTGTTGTTCCCTGTCTCCCTTTAATCCAGCAGATAGAGTAGGTCCGTGTTTATGTGCTAGTTACATGCTGCAATCATTTCTATTCGATCAAGACAACATCCTCGACTTCTGCACAGGCCTTTGTCAAGTAGGGGAGGGGGAAAACAGTGCCCATGGAGCCAGGAAGGAAAGTTGCAGTCCACAGGGAGCTTTTCCGTAGGACAGGACAAGGTGAGGGGAGAGAGCAGAGAACGCCTGTTTGCTCACATTACGTAGAGGTGGGTGCCTTCTCCATAGGAACATCTAGCAAACAACGGCGCATGGAAGTGAAAGTGAGCTGGCATTTATGATCTGTTCCTCCAACGCGGCCTCTGTTTGGGAAAACACAGCATTGGCCTCGCGTGAAATGAGTTCCTGCCTTATCTCAGTCCTCTAAAGACCTGGTCCTCTGGCACCAAGGTGCTTGCTTCCAAGCCAGTCATTGCACACGGCAGTCCCATCTCCGGGGAGTTTCAGGACCAATTGCTAGGCAACAGAGCTAGCTCTCGTTGGCCCCCAGAGCAAATGTGCGTCTTCCAGTGAGCATCCCTTGCATTCGCGGAGGTGGTGTGGGGCATTGCTGCATGGTGGCAGCTTGAAGTGTGTGGACCGATGGAGCCGGCCCACACAGTCTCCAGGAACTGGGATCCGTGTCAGATAGCTTTTAAGGACTGCCTGCTGAGTTGCATCATTTAAACAGAATAAGCCTTCTGATTTCAGCCTTGTATTTGCCTCCCCTAACGCACCTGCAGCTCAGTTCCCATTAACATTCTGCATGCCTATGGAACGTTCTCTAGACGTGTCCACGTTCTTAAAGCTGCACGATCCACCTTGGCGTTAGGAAGTCCTTCTGCTGCTTGATACCTTGCAAGTAGAGAAAGCCAAAGAAGAGAATGAGAGGGGCGAGGTAGACCCAGAAAATAGAATATTTTAGACTGCTTGCAAAAAAAAAAAAAAAAAAAAAAAATAGGAGGAAAAGGACCTGAAGTTTTGGTGGAAAGACTTGATTTTATGCTTTTAAAGGAAGTTAAAACCATCTTTTAGGGCACAAGGAATTAAAAATCCAATGATTCAATGTAGGGTCTATTCCTCTATATCTGACCCTGTGACTTGCTGGAAATGTTGCCTCAGGGCGTAGAGCCCTTAATAATGACTTCTCTTGTAATGAATGCTCTCTCTGTCTTTGGCAGGACCTGTCCTCTGGATGTCAGCTGAGTTACTAAGGTAACTCTGCATGTCCGTAGACAGACCTTGGTAGAACCTCAAGGCTCCTGGAGACCCCCCATCTCTCCTTCTTTTACTTTTTTTTTTCGGTGTGTGTCCTCACTGAGCATTCAAAACTGTTTCTCCAAAGGTTTTTGCAAAAACTCAGACTGTTTTCCAAAGCAGAAGCGCTGGCGTCCACGGCAGAAGCAATGGGCAGCGTGCGGACCAACCGCTACAGCATCGTGTCTTCCGAAGAGGACGGCATGAAGCTGGCCACCATGGCGGTTGCAAACGGCTTTGGCAATGGGAAGAGCAAAGTCCACACCCGCCAGCAGTGCCGGAGCCGCTTCGTGAAGAAGGACGGCCACTGCAACGTCCAGTTCATCAACGTGGGGGAGAAGGGACAACGGTACCTCGCGGACATCTTCACCACGTGCGTGGACATCCGCTGGCGGTGGATGCTGGTTATCTTCTGCCTGGCCTTCGTGCTCTCGTGGCTGTTTTTCGGCTGCGTGTTCTGGTTGATAGCTCTGCTCCATGGGGATCTGGATGCCACAAAGGAGAGCAAAGCTTGCGTGTCTGAGGTCAAGAGCTTCACGGCCGCCTTCCTCTTCTCCATCGAGACCCAGACCACCATCGGCTATGGCTTCCGGTGCGTCACGGACGAGTGCCCGATCGCTGTGTTTATGGTGGTGTTCCAGTCCATCGTGGGCTGCATCATCGACGCCTTCATCATCGGCGCAGTCATGGCCAAGATGGCCAAACCCAAGAAGAGAAACGAGACTCTTGTCTTCAGTCACAACGCTGTGATCGCCATGAGAGATGGCAAGTTGTGTCTGATGTGGCGGGTGGGCAATCTTCGGAAGAGCCACCTGGTGGAGGCTCATGTGCGAGCCCAGCTCCTCAAATCCAGAATTACTTCCGAAGGGGAGTACATCCCCCTGGATCAGATAGATATCAACGTTGGGTTTGACAGTGGAATCGATCGTATATTCCTGGTGTCCCCGATCACCATAGTCCATGAAATCGATGAAGACAGCCCCTTCTATGACTTGAGCAAACAGGACATTGACAATGCAGACTTTGAAATTGTCGTGATCCTGGAAGGCATGGTGGAGGCCACAGCCATGACCACCCAGTGCCGAAGCTCGTATCTGGCCAACGAAATCCTCTGGGGCCACCGCTATGAGCCTGTCCTCTTTGAGGAGAAACATTACTACAAAGTGGACTATTCCAGGTTCCACAAGACTTACGAAGTCCCTAACACGCCCCTGTGCAGCGCCAGAGACTTAGCAGAAAAGAAATATATCCTCTCCAATGCAAATTCATTTTGCTATGAAAATGAAGTTGCCCTCACTAGCAAAGAGGAAGATGACAGTGACAATGGCGTCCCAGAAAGCACAAGTACGGACACGCCCCCTGACCTAGACCTTCACAACCAGGCAAGTGTACCTCTAGAGCCCAGGCCCTTACGGCGAGAATCAGAGATATGACTGACGGATTCCTTCTCTGGAATAGTTACGTTCAAACACAGTCTGTTGGTCAAAGGCCCCAAACAGTGATTCAGACGACGGTACTGGCGGAGAGGTGGGTCAAGGCAAGTGGCCACCAGGGACTGAGGCTAGCCTGGTGGCTTCAGAGGAAGACTCTCAGCTCAGAGATGGACGGAACACACTCAACACACCTCCCCATGACCCGACTGCACATAGACATGTTGTAGAATAAGTTATGGGGTGTTCTGTTTTGTTTTGTGTTTTTATAAGACTTGAACTTGCAGGCAAGCCTTGGTTGGGTATTGGACTTATCCAGAATGCTTCTCTTTGGGGAACAAGAATGTTTTTAATGGCATAACAAAGGCAAGACTCTGCCTTAATCTCGAAAAGCTGCTAACTACATGAACACAAATTATATTTTTGTTGCAGTGTAGTTTTTCTTTAGTGTAACTTAAAAGTCAGTATTGAACTTGGTTGAAAGCTCATGATATGCGCTTCAAAGTGCCAAAACAAGAGCCTGATTTTTTTGAGGCCAGTAATTTGTTTGCTAGAATTGATTTTTTTTTTTTTTCTTTCTCTCTCTCTCTCCTCTGGTTACATAAGGGCATTATGTAACGCTAGCCAAATGGTAGCCTCCGGGTTAGTTTTTTATTTTTTTTCTTCATGATGTTAATGGGTTATCTCAAATTTTAAGTTGGACTACCTAAAACGAATACCAAAGATAATGCACATTTTTGCACAGTGGAGCTTATACTAAAAAGGAAGGAAAGCTCCAGAGCTGCCTTGAAATCAACAGACAATGACTTTGAACCTCAGCGAGACCTTGAACTGCCCTCCAGAAAATAGGACATCAACACACATAGAGTCTAGGTAGGGAGCATAGTGCTTTTAAAATGTTGTTCTTTCGTGTGATTTTTGTATTAAAGGAGGGAGAAGAAAGGGAAAGGGAAGTTCTCACACAAGACACACACTAAACACCTCTTCTGTCCTGCGAGCTAGTGCTGGCCAGGCTAATGCATAAGGTGAGAGATGGTGCCGTGCTCTGAGCTTGCTCCAGGTTTTCCCTGTTTGCACATTCCAAAATGGATCCCATAAAATAAGACCTTGGTGGAATTCAGTAGGCATTCTCAAAACTGAGCCACCTAACATGGAAGGTAAATTAAGTCAAACCCTTGCAGTTGAATACCCCTCCCTGACTGCCAGGATGGTTCCAGATGGACTTTGCCTTCGGAAAGATGCCCCACCAGCAGCCCCCTGCGTGGTCCCTCCTGACCAGTCTGTCTGGAGCAGGTCCCACAGCATCTGAGAGGGCTACGAAGGCCAAGGCCAAAGTATGGATGAACCTCTTTGGATGTAGCACATCAGCTTAAGTATCCAAGAGGGAGAGGAACATGGCTTTATATTCACGGTAGAGGGTAGGGATGAAACTGTCTCAGTATTTTAGGGTCACCAAGAGCCATACAAAATAAAACACAGTCACGAGTAAGGGAGATAATGGGCTAAAGGGTTATGGCCCATTGTACGCACACTCATGCTTGAGCATGAGCTGATCCTTGTCCCCATAGGAGACATGGATTCCCAGAAGCCTCTCCTGCCTGGCTGCCTGACTTGCTACCCACCATTTCCCCCTCAATCTAGCTGAGTCACGGAACTCTTTTTTATTTTTTTTGTCTGAAGTACCCTATCTGTGAATTCCGGGTTACTGACTTTTCTTTTGAATTGGAGTCTCAAAACCAACTCTCTCATGGTGTTAAATCCCTGTATGCCATTAAAAAGAAGCTTGTTCTAGAATCCTGTATTTGTGAATCGATGTGGGTCTTGAGCAGCCATATCTGAATGCAGTGCCTGCAATGAGGTCACCAGACCTGCCGTGGTCAGCCTTCAGAGTCCTTGGGTTTGAAGACGGTGGTGTTCTTTTCATGGGAACCAACACAGAGATGTGGATGCTGTTTTGAAATCCAAATTGAGAGGCAGGTTTGGGAAGTTGTCTAGAGAGTTAGAGGAACTGGGACTGAGTGGACAAGACAATCAACCAAAGAGGCAACTGTCTGGCCATGGACACGAGGCTACCGAGGGCTTCCACTGCTGCTATTTCGATATTTTTGCAAAGGAAAATAATCAAACCAAAGAGTATTCAGTCACATGTACTTTCAATGAAGATACAGTGGAGGGTAGGGCTGACCTCCGAGAAGATTCCTCCCCAACACACAGCTGCCACTTAAAGAAAGAATTGAAGTATTTGCAAAGAGGGTGGGCAAGGGGGCAGGAACGAGGGAGGGACATCTTTCAACTTCTTTCTGAAATAGAGAAGAAAAAAAAAATCTAACATTTCTGGTGCACACAGGTTTGTTTGTCGTTTGTTTTTTTGTTTTTCAAGAAAATTTTGCAGAAGCTATGTTTTTAAAAGTGTACATTTTATAAAATTTATCAGATATTTTCATATTTAAAGCCAAATGTAAATAGAAGTCTGTAAAGGGGAAAAAAAATTGCCATGGAAAGTCTGATTTCAGTGCAGCAATTTCTGAGAACTAGTACCTATATGCTACCGGTTAGCATGGTTTTAGCAAATATCTTCCCAGCCTTATAAGGTTTGTATTGCTATGTTCTTCGGTTATTTATTTCAGCATGGGCTGTTCATTTGAAAGCTTTTTTCCTAGTTATTAGTATTGTAACAGTTACAAGCTTTAAGTGGCTTTTATTTTATTTTATTTTATTTTATTTTATTTTATTTTATTTGTGGTCAAGAGCCAAGACACAGGTAATGCACTACATTGTTTTGCTGCATTTTACCTTCAAAACATTTGTCCCTCCTGGGCCTCCTTCCTTCGTGCACACATGCCACCAAGATGCAGATGGAAGAGACCCCGTGAACGTCTGGGGTCCATTCTTGGACGCGTGTTGCTTCTTTATTGCAAGCGAACCCTCGCTGAATTCACGTAGGACTCACTCCCTTTTAAAGAAGTCACTGCCCACGTCTGGCTGGGCATCATATTTTTGGAAGGAGGCATAGATTCTCGGTTATCCTATTTTTAAAGAAAATGTAGACAAAGTGAATCTATTTTGATTATGGAGAAAGGCATAGTTTTCTACCCCTCTACACGTATACTTGAATCAGACATTTCAAAGATGTCACACGATAGCACTGTAGTCCTTTCCAAATTCCTGGAAAAAGTTTTCACCTTAAAAAAAAAAAAATTCTCTCAATGCGTTATTTCTCCCTTTGCTTCCTTTCTTCCCTACAAACTCCCATCCCAAACCTTGATGTTTCTTTCATGAGCTGTACCCAACTCTCCCTCCCCTGTCCCAAATTATGTTACCCTTGCAAATAACAAATGTCAGTTCACGTTGTAAAAACCACTTGGTAAAGGCAAGAAGCTTGTCCTGACTGGTAAAGTGGGTTCTTTTTCACTCTGTGTCTGCTCATGGTAAGGTGGGAAAAAAGTGTTGCATTCATTCCCATCCCCTCACTCCCCACTAGAATCTCTTTTCTGGTGACACTGAGTTCAGCTCTGGTCTCCGGCGAGTTGCACAAGCTGGGCCTCGGACAATCGCGATAGTTCCTATTTTCCCGTTTGCCGTCCTTTTGTACCTAAAGTCTTCCTATTGTACTGCACAAACCATGGATTGTACATATTTTTATATATTATGTCTTATTTTATTATTTCTAAATAAAAACGTAAATGTTGAACACAAATCCGTGCGGGATCTTTGGGCTTCCTCCATGTAGAATCGAGAGCACAAGTTCGCACACAATGGGGCAGAAACTCCGATGCCCTGCATGAATGGAGCCATAGAAATTGCTTGAGTAGGCAGGTGCGTGGGGTGGCAGATTAGTCTAATCCACCTTAGAGGAAGCCAAGCTCATATTTTGTTTTTTACAGAATGGGCTAAGCTAGAGAAAGGATAGAAAAGACAGAGGAGAAACAAGCAAACCACCACAACAAAAAACCCACAGAATATAATAAGGTTTAGATCCATACGTTTGTTGAGTGATCCTAGTCCCTTTTCTTGGAACCTACGCTGTAGGTGGGGTTCTTCCTTATATGTTGTCTCATCTCAAGAGCAAATCAGGACATTCTTATTGCCCTGTGAGACATCAGGAGTAGGCAAATGTGTCTCATAAAGGGCCAGATAGTAAAGGTTTCTGATTTTCAGACTGGGCCATCCTTGTATAATCTCTACAGCTCCTCCCTTGTGGTATGAAAACAGCCACAGATAATAGGAGAACAATGGTGTGGCTGGGCTTCAATGAAACTTTCCTTACAGCTGCAGGGGGTGAGCCAGATTTGGCCTGTGGCCTGTGATTTATGGGACCTGTGGCTGTAGATAAGAAGCTGAGGCCTGATTGTAAAACTAGTGAATCCCTGGGGTGGTATGAGAATGCAGATTTTATCTGAGAAATAACCACATCCCTGGTGAACATATTTTAAGACCCCAGAGACTTCTTTTTCAAAATAGTTCAGATGGAGGTTCCTATTGACCCAATGATTTGAGCCACTGTACCAGGGTTATTATAATGCCTTTTTATTTTATTTTACCTTTTTTTTTTTTAATTTTTGGAAGGGAGAGGGAGAGGAAGAGAGAAACATCAATGATGAGAGGGAAGCCTTGATCAGCTACCTCCTGCAGATAGAGTCCTCATCCTGGTTATGTGCCTGAAAAGGAATTGAACCATGATCTCCTGGTTCATAGGTCAACACCCAACCACTGCGCCATGCCAGCCAGACTAGAATGACTTTTTCAAAAGGTACATATGTACAAGGGAACACCAGTGTTAATGTAAAAAAAAACAAAACAAAAACAAAAAAACCCAAAAAATCCCCCCAAAAAACATTGAAACCTGTAAAGAATTTTTGTGAGTTTATTTGAGCCAAATTGTCAACATATGCCAGGAAAACAGAACCTTAAGGAATTGAGATAATGCTTTGGAGAATGGCAGGTCACATTTGTATTTACACATTGCAATCAAAGGAGGAACATAGGTGGGTTACATGAAATGCATTGGTAAAAGATTAAGGAGATGGGATAAAGCAAAGCGGAGGGAAACCCCTGGATTGGATAAAAAGTAAAATGATGGACACATACTTAGGTAGGTGCAGGAACAACTAACATGATAACGAAGGAATTTGTGGTATCTGTCCTGGTGCCCACCACATTTGGTTGTGCCCCAGGGGGTCCAGAAAAAGGGAAGTTACAAGTTACCCAGACATTTCAAGGGCATGTTTTCATAGATACAAAAAGACAGGCTCAGTTAAGATAAAGGTAGACCTTATCAGTGAAGATACTGCCTAGGATATAACTGCCCACCATAACTGCATTTTGTTAAAGTTTAATTTCAGACCATCCTTTGTGGTTCCTTTAGATCTCTGAATTTGCAAGACCGTCATGCAGGCCTCCCCTGAGCTTGTCAGGTCAGCATGTGGCTCCTTTTGTCCACACCAGCAAGATGCATCTACAGTAAGACCATCACAATACCTGGTTCAGGAATAGGGTGACCAACTGGTCTACTTGGGTGAGATATTTCCCAGGATGCAGAATTTGCAGTGCAAAAATGGGTGCATTCAGGGCAAACTGGGATGAGTCCATCACCTGCTTTGGAAACTAAGAGAAGCAGAAGAGTTGAGGGCAGGGAAGGAGGGGCAGTTAAGAAGAACGAGGAAGGGGAGGAGTTAGAGGAAGGTGAGGCCCATTGGCACAGGAGTGTTGCTAACTAGTAAGAATAATAATGATGGATAATTACACATAAGTGGCTCTCTCCAAATAAGTGAAGTTTGTTGCCTCCAGGCATTGATTGTATTAGAGGAATGGTTTCCTAAAATACACAATTCTCTGCCTTATTCAGAAGATGGTCTGTGTTCTTTAGCGTTTCCTTGTGTGGCACACAAGCTCTTCCTAATAGAAAGTGCTTTTAAAAGTGTGCCCATTACTAGTAAACCACCCATTGCTGTTGATCCAAGGCCAGAGGTCACCAAGCACCATTTAGGTTTCTGCATCTGATCTGCTATGTGGAGAAAATCATATCATTCACCGTAAGGGCTTTGTAACTAGTATGTCAGAGGCAGGCAGGCCAGAAACATGCAGATAACACACAAAGGACATGACTTGGATGTAGGGGTTTTGCGGTGCCTGAACTCATTGTCAGAGGTCTTTTTTATTTCAGATTTGAGATTATATTCTGAGAGACTGACGCTGTTAAGAGGTTCAGTGCCTAAAATAAACTCTATTCAGCTTGACCAAAAACTTATTGAGGAACTAGCCTATGGTTGGTGGTGGTTATTCAAATGTTTCTATCTGGAATTTCACAATTTGGAAAATGGGCATTATAGTTGTATGTTCATTTTGTCTTATTAATGAGAAAAGCAACTGGATTTTAGATATAAAAAATATCCATAACAACGACCAATTTGGGAATACATATGGGGTATGAGGCACTGTGCAAAGACATACTTCTTGCCTTCCCTGTATCACTTAAATATCCTTTCAGGGATGTCACCGTGGATTCACATACTTTGGTAATGGCTGGTTGGGAATGGCTTAAGTTGGTTTGGTAAAACCTCTGCTCCCCTGGAAGCTGCTTTTTTTCTTTCTTTGCTAAATGACCCCTCAGACCCTAGACTCTGCTTCTGTGATTAGGTCTGTGACATCGTCACCTCCCTGATCCTCACACAGGATCCAAAAGACATCCCTGGGGCAAGTGCCTGGGTTTGATCCTGCACTAGGGACAAATGAATCAAGATTCACACGGGATAGTTTTATTCGGCTTTTGTGTATCTAATTCTTGCTGATAGACTTCTACATCTGAAGTCCGCATTGTGCAACGTTTTATTTGGTCCTGCAAACGAAGAGAAGGTTCGCTAAATAGGATAGAGGGGTGTCCTCAGAAGGAGCAGCATTAGACCTTAGACACAGACCCTCAAAACAGACTATTTACCAATAAAGTTCAAAGGCAAGTGTATACACAGCCCTAACAAAGCACTCCTGACAAAGCCACCCTCAGAGGGCAGCCACTCACCCGAAAGCGAGGGAAGGTGGCATCTGCCTGCCAGAGGGGGTCTTAGGGCCTGGAGGCCAGGAGACCCACGAAGCACTCCTCCCTGGCGCCTCCAGCATCAGCGGGGAGCTGCAGTCCCATCCCTCAGGCACACTCAGTCAATGAGGCAGTGGCAGAAGATGCCTCGGAGTTGCCATGGGAACAGAGAGAAGCATCCGCGTACCTCTCTTGCATACTCCTTAATTTAATCTGAGTGACTTTATTCAAGAACCAAAAATAAAAAGTGCACAGGGATGTAATTATATAAAAAGCCGTGTTCGATGATAATAAATACAGTGTGTACTTTTTGCTCAGTCTGCAGCTCGCTTGCGTCTCCCTTCTATTCCAAAGCATTTGAACTTCTCCAAGCAGGAGTCTTCGTTTAGAGTCTGATTGAAGGGAGGCCCAGGTTTGCCAAGAGAGAGGCGTGAGGCTTCCTCCCGAATCTCCAGCCTTGCCTGGCTCATTCTCGCCATCTGAATGCGGAGCGTGCTCACACCGGGCCCTCCGTTCCCAGGGTATATTCGCATTGGGCCATCTGGCGCTGCCTCCTGAGCTCCCTGGTCTAAAAGGTTCTATGGGTTGGGATTAGTTTGTAGGATAATAAAAAACGCAGTGCACAGGAGAAGGAATAATAAAAAAAAAAAAGAAAAGAAATTAGTGGAGAAGCTAACACAATTCTTCTTTTAAAAAAAGAAATAAGATATGCCGAAACTGGTGTGTCTCAGTGGATAGAGCATCGGCCTGCGGACTGAAGGGTCCCAGGTTCAATTCCAGTCAAGGACATGCACCTTGGTGGTGGGCACATCCCTGGTGGGGGGTGTGCAGGAGGCAGCTGATCGATATTTCTCTCTCATCGATGTTTCTAACTCTCTCTCCCTACCTCTCTTAATTTTTTTTTAAGATTAATTAAAAAATAAATAAAATAAAATCCTGTTGCTACTTGCAGTTAGCACTTCCTTTTCAATGGGGAGGTGGGGGAGGGAGAAGCAGCTTCTCAGTGCTGGTGCCCTTGCAACATCACCAGGGCCAGAATTGGGAGTAGGCCCCTGCCCTCACACCTTCCGAGGGACTGAGGGCTTACAGGTGCAGGAAGAAAAAGTTGCCTCCTCGCCCCCCCCCCACCCCCCGCAGCATCCTTGACTGAGGCAAGGCAATTCTGGCTGCGCAGTTGGGCCTGATTCTAAAAGTGCTCAGGTTGCTGTTTCCGGCTGGAGATTTGCATGCAGTTGTGTGCGATGTAGGATTTACTTAGAAAGGAAGATGCAAAGGTGCCAGGCACGTCTGGTGGGCCAGAATGCAGTCCCGGTTGTTCTTTGGGATACACCCTGCCCATCCACCTGATTCAGAGGACCCCAGGTCCCCTCTCAGCATTTTATATCCTGGGAGGCCCTTCCACTGAGGCTTCTCTGCAAGGCAAATACGTCCTCTCTAGGGATAAAGTGGGAAAGGGACTTTTCCCCTTTTGGAGAGCCAGCAGTCTGCAGGTCAAAAGCACGCTGTCTGTAAAATTGCGCTGGTGTGTTGTGTTGTTGAAATGCCTAGTGAAACAGCTGTGTGCTTGCAAAGAAGTGGAACTGAAGGACTTCCTTGTGTTTTAGGTTGGAAATTTTTTACTCTCCTGAATTTAGAATGTCCAGTCCTTTGCACCTAGGGGTATGAAG